TTTTTTTTTTTTTTACATCATTAATTCTAAAAATAAGCCCGCATATATGTATACGATACAAAAGACGAAAAAGTGCTATATATTTAATTGACTGATAAACGAAGAAAAAGTTTTAAAGAAGGCTATATATAAAAGCTAACAGCTAAAACAACTACATTTACTTATATGACCAATGACTGAGAAGACTATGTTGACGGCAACGATGATGTAAACCACACAAGTACCAACAGCGACAAAGACGACAACTAAATGATGAAATGAAAGTGGGAATTTAGAAGTTTGGGAATGGTCAGTGATGAAAAAGTTTAAGTCCCGTATGAATTAAGGTCATGCCGTACTCGTCGCATGCCTCAATTATCTCCTGATCTCGCGGTGAACCACCAGGACTTGCCACATATTTTACACCGTACTGCAAGACAAATAGTTAACCATTGAACGAGTCCAAAATTACTATTACAAAAATTGTTAATCGCCAAATTATCAGTCTTTTAGTTAAGCAAATCTTGATGCAGTTAAGTTGCTAAACACACTAATATTGATATTCGTGCTGCAGTCTTGCTCTAAGTACTCTTATCTCATAACTACCTTTGACTAATAGCAGAACATTTGTTAACTGTTCTGCAAAATAGATCCATTACCTGACTTGCGCAGTCAATATTATCACGATACGGAAAAGAGGCGTCTGAACTAACGACAACATCAGTTAGACTGGTTAACCACTTCTTTCGTTCTTCCTAAATCAGTTTACTAGATCAGTTAAAGATATAAAAGAAAAAAGAAAAAAAACAGCTTTCTTGTTTCAAGAAAAAAAACTGTAAAAATTTTGCCTATTTTTTTTTGAAATGTATCTGTGATCAGTGAAAGTAAATAATCAAACAATGAGATAATAATTTAATTTTAATATACGTCTAATACATACTGTCTTTTCACAGTAATCACAGCGATAGATATTTGCAAAAAAAAAAAAAATAATTGGAATATTTTATAGAGTCAGCAAACTGATTACACTGGTAAACGGTTCAACTGGTTCAACAAAATGTTGGCTCCAATGACTTTCAGAAATTTCTGTACCAAGCACTCCGGATACCATAACATCAATAGCATTCGATCGTTCGGCTCGTTTAACTGTCGGATTCCATGGCAAATTCAAAACACGTTCATGTTGTCGCATCCACCTTATAAGAGATAGAATAATAAAAGTTATTGCAAATTTTAATTTTTATATAATGTACTTTGACGAGTTAAATTAAATACCATGATGCAGCTTTTTCGCCAGCTAAACGTGTACAATGTATTCTTGACTGATGACCAGCTCCCATACCAATCACCTGAAATATACGCTTTTTTTTCTCGTTGATACAAAACCGATGAAGAAAACCAAATAAAACTACTATAACCCTAAAGAAAAGTAAAAATAAATATACAAATTGAAAAGAAGATAATTGCTTAAAATTGTACTATAACAGGAACCTGTCCACGATGAGCAAAACAGACGCTATTTGACTGTGTATATTTTACAGCAATTGTTGCAACTATTAAATCGTCCAATGCTGATTTGGTTATCTGAAGCATATTTACAGCTGTTTGATTTTGAATACAGTTGAAAGCAAAAAGAAATTGCAGTTAGTTCAAAAAAGAAAAAAATTTGGATTATCAAAGAAGATTACTCGGTCAGATTTGGATACAATGTTGGTGAACATATCCGGTCTTACACGAGCATTATTTCGTTTCTGCTTCAAACGAAGTCCGAAAATCGTACGTTCTTCACATTCCGATGGCAAATATTGTGCATCAATCTGAAAAATTCGTTGATTTTTAGAACTAAAAATTATACGTATCTTATAGTTTTCAAATTAGCGGTTATTGATACAACTCTATAAAATATGCAAATGTTTTATAAATTTAACTGCAAAAAAGTATCAACGAAATGTGACTAATAAAAAAAAAAGGTAAAGATTAACCTTAAGGATAATGTAATTTCCAGATTTCTTTTTTGCCAAAATATTTAATGCTGCATCTTCATAATCTGGTGCCACAATACCATCGGAAACTTCACGACTGATAATACGTGCTGTTAATTCATCACATTTTCCAGATAAGGCAATAAAGTCCCCAAATGATGACATACGGTCAGCGCCTAAGATAAAAGTAAAAAGAAATTTAGTCAATTAAAACAAATGTTATTAACTATATAATTTGCAAATCAAAAATAAACTGAATGAAGCATATATCTTTATTCTCTTCTTTTTAGATCACTACATTTCTAAAGACCAAAAATTACAGCAGCAAAAAAGAAAAAAAAACGAAGAAAACAAAAAGAAACCACATTTTGTGCTGTTAACAAATAACTTGAACAGCTAATACACAAGTCGTCTACAAGTGATAAGCGAGTAAGTAAGTAGTAATTGTAAGTATGGATAGATGAATTACTATTGTCTATCACTGGAGTGAATGTAATGGCGTGAATAATTCTTTCACTTTTTTGGTGAAAGGTAAAAGCGCGCAACAACAGCAAACGATGAATAGACAGAAACCTGTCATATAGAATCAAACTTCCTTGTCGTTGCTGCTGCTGCTGCTAATGCTGATGCTGCAACTGCTGTTGTAGTTGTTAGATGAATGACAACTGTTAGGGTACTGAAGCATAGCAACTACAAAAGGATAAACACGTGGTGATACCTTGTGTGACAAGCGCATAAACTACATTACTAACTAATAACTAGTTGACTAACTAAGACAGATGGCTTCTCCAAACTATCATCCAACAATGTTTTATACTCTTCCACTTCCCTTTCACTTCCTCGTCCTCAAATATCACTTCTTTTGCATTAGCAGTAATCACTGTATCAGCAGTGTTAGATGAAAGTTCAGCTCTTTAAAAATAGCGTTGAAAAAAAGCATCCTACAAGAAAATGCGAAGAAAATCATAATCAGTTAGTGAAGCAGTAGAAAAAACATTAATCACACTAGCAGTTATCAAAGTATAAGTTGAAATAAAAACTACTTTATAATAGCAAAACAATTTTGGTCAGCTATTTAGTATATTTACCCATATCTTTCATCCATATTTATGTACATCAGTGTTTGTATCATTGTTGCCATTGCTGTCGTTGTTGTGGTTATCCGTTATATATCATCCATTACTTTTAAATACCATTCTTAGTGTTTGATGTGTGTATGTGTTTGTTTCTGTATGTGTTCGTAACTTTATTCCATCTATGATATTACATGCAATAGAAGCTACAAACAAAAGCTAAACATTAAAAATTTTCTTACTTTGTGTAGCAGTAAAAGAAAAAAATTTTTTTTAAAGACAAAACTGGCTTCAAATGTTGATAATTCTAGTTATGTTAATTACAGCTACTGTTGATAAGTTCGCTAAACTATCAATTATTTTCAAATTTATTTCATGCCCAAAAGAAACCAACGCAAGCATTGTTTTAGAACGGAGAGCGAGAGAGAGAAGTCTGTCATACGGTAGAGCTTTGTGCAAAAAAAAAAAAAAGTAAAACAAACGTTAGTCAGATTACCATATAATGCACGTTAGCAACAACCAAACTCACCAACAATCTCCTGTATCCGCTTAGCATTCTTCGATAACTTCATCCAGTCCTGTTCTCAAAATCAAATTTCAACGATCATCTTTATTTGGTTTTATCAATTAACCAAAAAAAAAGCTTGTATATATACAGAAGATACATTTCGTTACCTTTAGTTAGCTGAAATATTTCATATTTCTTTCTGATTTCTGAATAATGACCTATTTAATTTTCATACGTCTTTTTTGAAATAGTAAAAATTGCTGTAATAAAAAGGCAGCTGTCGTTATAAGAATGGTGATAATAACGATGCTGATGATATTAATGATGAAGATGGTGATGATAAAACTGCTAACAGCATTTCATCGATAGTTCAGAGCAATTTTTTCTTTTCTTCTGTGTGTAAATTTTTTTTGTAAAACTAGCTTTTGAGATCATTTTTCTCGTCTTATCAAAAATCAATTGTTGATAAGGTAAAACAAGTGTGCAGATTGATTAACATTTTAACTTATTGGACAACTTCAATGAATTGTGCGCTTTTCATTAAACAATGATCACAGCGTAATTTCTTCGTAAAAAAGAAAGCTAGCAGAATAAAATCAGAAAAAGATCAAGAAAAAACGAATAATTGATTGCTCAAGTTAATTAGTAAGGTATTTTATCACAACTAGGTTGTTGCCTTCAAAGTGGTCCTTTTTACATCAAGTTTACAAAATGTTTCGTTAAACAGAACAAATATCGTTTTATAAAACACAACTTTCGTTGACATTTCAGAAAGAACGCGACTCGATTAAAATTTTAAAGCATTTTCAGCAACTTTTAGCTGAGGTGTTTCTTCTTGTCTATAAAAGCATATACAGCTTAAAATTGATAATAAACGGCTAAACTTAAGCCTTGAAAATATATGAAATAAGTGAGCGTCTTGATGTAATTGCTTAAGTTTTGCACGAGTAAGTAATGCAGTGTGTAGCCGAATGTTGTCCTAAACAAAAATGACAGCTTTCCTATTCACCAACAAAGGGCACATCTCTCTAGCTTCTTCATCTTAGTGTTTGTCTTGTAGCAGTAGATAGATACCGCAATAAATACACCACTTTCTATAAGGCTGAAGGACATCATTTCACTATTATACGATCAACGAACAGCACGATCCTTTTCAAGCGCAGATCTAGTTTTGGAAAACTTTTTGTGGGATAATTTCATTGAGCCACACTGTCAGCCCATTTCGATTTTCACACAGACATCATTTTTCTTCACCAGCCCCATTAAGAAAAAGATATTCCTGATGAAGACTCAGCATGTTTTTGCAAATGTTTCCTTTAGTTATCATCTAATCATCTGTTACTTCCTAATTTAACTTCGCACTAATTTAATTTCTCACTGCCGGTTCTTTCCCATGTCTACCAACTGTTTCATTCGACACCTATAACTTTGTCGTTAATTACCGTATGATTTCTTTTGGTCCTCATTTCACTAACTTTTCAAGAATGCAATTGCAGACTACTACAAGACAACAAATAAAGTTTCTCATTTCTTCTTCCTTCTCCTCTACATCTCTCATTCAGAACTTGTCACATGTGATGTTTTGCAAGGACCTTTTTAAGGCATGGTGAGACTATGTTTTGACATGCATCGAGTGCGGACATGCCACTTTTCCATTTGTCTCATCCAAGTAAGTGCATGCAACAGTTTTTCATACCTTAGAATAAAAGTTCTGAAATAAAGATTGCAATAAGATTTTAAAAAAAAAAGTGAAGCTGGAAACAAAAACTGTAATTTTTGCAAGAGACGCGCCCTACGTTGGTGCTGAGCTTTTTCTAAACGGCGGTTAATCATAAGTTTCTATTTCTACAATGGACCATTTGAATTCAACAGACTTATATTAATGCAATTTAAGAAATATGTATTCAGAATATGAAATTGCACTCGGTTTGCAAATCAACTGGTTGAAGTGTAGGTTCTCAGTTGTTACCAAAAAAGAAAGGTGTGCACAGTCCTCAGGATGAGAAAAAAATGATTGGTGAGATGAACAAAGATCAATTAGCAGTAAATTTCCTTAAAAAGCCTTCAAACAACAGTGTCTAAATACAATTCTCAGTTTTTTTGCCATCTAATGTGAAAATTTTCTGTCGACTTTGACTTAGAAGTTAAGCAGCTTGAACATTCGCTTTGCCAACCGTCACTGAGCCTAGAATTTAATGCCATCTTTTTTATAGCTTATGATAATAAGCCCCGTTTGCTATCATACTAAGAAGAACCCAGTAGTTTGAAAAACAATATTCAGACTTTTCAAAAATCTAGCATGAAAATTTTTTGTGGCCAAAATCGTCTAAAATAGTCTTTCGGCTTGAAAATCAACTTAAATAAGCATTTAGTTAAACTAATCAGAGAAATACTGTGGTTGTTTCCTGCCAAAGAAACGTTGGAATGAATCGACCAGAAAAAAAAAGAGGTATCAGCAGTAGATGTTGACTTACTGAATAGGTAAAAGTAAAAAAACTGGAAAGCAAAACATGTAGTTTTGTGCCTCAAAAAATAAATAATTAAAATAAAATAGAATGGAAATAAAATCAGTATTTGGTAAACTTAAATAAAAATTTTTAGGCTATAACGCATATGATAC